CCCCCCCCCCCCCCCCCTGACCTTCGCAGAGCACAACGAGAGGAGCCTGGGGCTTTGGCTCCTCCTGGAGCAGATCCTGGGCCTCGCGGGGTTTTCGGCGCGGGCGGCACCGCCAGCTTCCCCCCAAGTTCCCAAATCAGTGCGAGCCTGGGGCGGCGTCGGCGCGCCGATGGCAGGAAGGTGGGCCGGCACCTTGCCTGTCGCCTGCAAACGCAAAGCCTCAACTCAAGCCTTCGCTGCTTTGCTGCTTTGCTGGGGCCTTTGAGTAGAGCACCCGGCGATCGGGCAACCACACCTCGAAGCGGGTTCCCTCCCCATCGTCTCTTCGTGGTTGCGAGTAGCGCCTCCTGGCTTCGGACTTCCGCCTGCCTCGGCAGAAGGCAAAGGGAGCTCTGCGAGGCCGAGGCTAAGGGCGACTTGAGATGCGGTGCGGCAGGCCTCACGAAGAACTGACGGCAGAAGTCTGGGCCCTCCAAACGAGGAACTGCTCCTTTTACGTTCCACCTGCGAGGCAGGGGGCAGGACCGTGTGGTCACAGGAGACCTTTTTTGGACAGAGCCTCGGTGATGGCGGCGGCGGCGGGGATGGGCTCGATGCCGCCTGCTCCGAGGGTTCCGAGAGTTCCGAGGCTTCGGAGTGCTTTGGCAGCGCACGTCTTCGGAAGGCATGGCATGCTTCCTGCACCAGCACTGCAATCGTTGTCTCGATCACAAGACAGCCATGCCCCTACACTGACTTGGACAAGCTCAATACGGATGTCTCCTGCAAAGGTCCACAAGCTCCATCGGCTTTGCCACCTCAGCCACGGCAAGTGTGGAAGGCCACTCTTCCGGACGCCAGCAAGGCAAGGTGCCGGTGAATGCCACTGCATCGCAGCTTCTTTGGCACGCTCCATATCTAACAACTTCCGTTGCATCTCCTTCACCTCATGGAAGCACTTCGCCAAGCTAGCTCTTCAAACACCGGCAAGTGATAGTCAGGAGCAAGGGGCGTTTTGGAAGCCTGCAACCAATCCTCCTCGTCTCGCACCCTCAGAGCCTCCGTAGAATGCAGTGCGGAAAAATTGGCTTTGGAACTCTGACTCGCGCATTTGCTGATGAGCGTCGCTGGCTGATGGGAGACAGAAGATAGCCCGCAATGGCATTTCGAGCCTTCGCAGATAGGCAGGTTTCACGATGTTTCGTGCATGTACTCTCAATTTCGACGACGAGATCATCTGGAAAATACGAGTCTTCCAGGCCTTCTTTACCGCCTCCGGGTCCTCTCGCCAGTCATCCAGGAAGGCAACCTTCTCAACGCTCTGTCGCTGCTGAAGCATACAAGGCTGTCCTCACTCAAGCTCCGAGAAGTTACGAAGCCTCTTTCAAGGACAGCGTGCCCTCGGCTGTCACCTGGGCCGAGAACATGGGGCACAGCAACCACCCGACGACTTCAAGCTGCAACGGAGTAGCATCCAAGGCCGAGAAGAGACCCTTCGCATGGCCCTGCAAGCCAGCTTCATGAGTTCGAGTTCATGGACAGGCTGCAGATCAGGGTCCGGGTCCTCATAGCCATAGATCTTGCAGGCCGCCCGGAACTCCTGGCAAGACCATCTGCAAATAAAGGGATCCGGAATTGATTTTGGAAGTGCTGTCTACGTGCTGGATTCGTTGCATTTTTGTGTGGCTGCAAGTCCAGGAAAGTCCAATTTAGTTTAGGACTGTAATTAGTGACAATCTCCTTGTGGGCTCTTAGCCTCCTCGCTGGTTCTTGGAGTCTGCAGCTGACCAATGCAGCACATTTAGATTGCACAGCTCTCGTGACAGTCATCAGGGGGATCTTGGAAGCTGCAAGTACTCGAACATGCAGCATTTGGGCACACTTGGATTCGCGTCTTTCAAGGGGTTCTTGGAGGCTGCAAGTACTTGTACGTGATGGAGCTTTGCGTGGTCAATTTCGTATGTAGCACTGTCGCGACAATGATGGCAAAAACTCTGAATGACATGGTCCTCGGAATTGTCCAAAGCTGAGCGAAAAGACACCTATTTCGAAATCAGCACTTCTTAGAAGGTGCCGTTTTGACGCACAAGCTTAACGAAGCTGAAAAGGAAGCTGCCCATCGCGGCTCAAAGGCATCAGGACTGAAAGACCTCCCGAGCTTTAGAACTATCAGGGACCATATGAAGTTGGACTGCTATACGGTCGAGCTTGGCGTAGCATGAAAGAATACCAGAAAAAAGCTTCCGCAGCATCACAGGTGGATCATTGAAACCAAGTAGAAGACACAAAAAAATCGCGGGAGCAAGAACTATCCCAGCAGGTCCTGGAATGTCAAAGTATTGGATCCATCACGGTCGAAGACGGTAAAGGCACCCTTTGCCGAACCAAACTCGTCCAATGCCCAGGTCCTCCAATGCGGGCATGCCAAAAACAACAAGATACATCAAACGCGCACACCAACCTTCAGCCGCGGTGAAGGCAGCAGTGTAGCAGTAGCAGAAGCAGTAGGAGCAGGCGCAAGTCGTGGTACAGAAACTTGCACTAGTATAAGCTGGTGCACTAGTAGCAGTAGCAGTACTAGTAGCATTGCATTGCAGCGATCCGAAGGCAAGACGAGGGCCTGGACAGATGCGTTGCATCCGGTCGTTCCGTGACGGCTTCACTCGGTGATGCACAAAGCCATGGGAAAGGTGGGGAGGGCTGGGATTATAAGGTCAGCCGACTCGTACACTCCTGAAGCATGTCTGACGCTGGTAGTGGCAGTTGCAGTGGTGGTAGCCGTGGTAGTCGTAGTAGCCGTACAGTAGTCCTCGTCGTCGTGGTAGTAGTAGTAGTAGCAGCAGCAGCAGCAGTAGTAGTAACAGCAGCAGCAGCAGCAACAGCAGCAGCAGCAGCAGTAGCAGTAGTAGTAGCAGCAGTAGCAGTAGCAGTAGTAGTCGTGGTAGCTGTAGTAGTAGGAGCAGTAGCAACATTCACCTTGTTCGCATCTGAGCCTGGCATTTGCAATTGCACTTGCTTCAGCCTGTTACATCAAAAAAGGCCTGAATTCCATGAGCGTGTTGTAGCTGTCTTCGTCCAGCTCTTTCAAGGTAATGTACCTGCCCCCAATGAAAAAGGCACACTGCCTGGGATGCTCTACGATGCATCGCGGCGTTGCTTTTAAGTTCAGGTACCCAATAAGATCTGCGTCCAGTGCACGCCACGCTCCAGGGATGTCACCTGAGGTTTTTTAAGGACTCTCGAACAAGAGGCGTCCATGCCCGATCCCATCAGAAGCTTGAGAGCCACACCATGAAATCCGCAGGCCTTGCAGGCGAAGAGGAACTCATGCCAGTTACATCCTCGCTGACAGCTGAGCACACTGAGGCGGAGAGGGACTTCTGTTGGATATAGTTGGATCGACTCACTCAAACCCCTAAGACCCAAGACATACTGTCCGGCAGAATCACCCTGCAGGAGGCAAGCTTCTCCCAAGCAAAGCCAAAGCTACAACTACAAGCGACTGCCACAAGAGCGCATCATGCATGCGGAAGCCCCTTGAGGGAGGTCGCAGAGTTCCCGGGGAGTTAACTACAGCAGCATGCTGTACCAGAGACGATCGGCTCCGGCTTTCAGTTTTCCCAGGCAGTGACACACTCTACAAAGGCTCGGCCCTGCGCGGTTGCTGCCATCCCGATCCAGAAGCTGCCGCCTCGGAGGGGATGCAAACGGCCACTGCTCGCAATCGAAACTTGGGGGCACCGGGCTGCCCACCAGACTTTCACGGGACGGTGGTAGCGATGTAAAAGGAGCTTCTTGACTCCGTCTTTCGCATTCAGGTTGGGAGTTGCCGTGAGGAAGGGTAGAGGGCTCCATTTCTCCAGGAAGTGCAAGTCATCCTCATCGATGACGTGATTACAATCCAGATCTAGGACAGCAAAAAGCGTCGCCGCCTGCGTGTGGAAAGGGAACCCAAGCTTCTGCAGCCCTTGTTGGAACTGTCGCAGCCGAATCTTCCGCGTGCCATCAAGATCTAACTCTTCGAAGGCAGCATGGTAGTCTTCGAAGCGCTCATCCAAGAACTTCTTGAAGTGAGCCACAACCTGCGCCGTTCTCGGGTCAATCTCATCTACGGAGGCAAAGCCACTCCCGGTCTTGTCCATCATCTTCCATAGGTCTTTTCCTTTCTTGGCATATCCCATCTTGGCACATGCCTGCACTGAGTCTCGAAGTTGACCAAACAAGGAGCCCCCGAACGGCAATGACAACAACAACGATCCCCATGACTGCCGTGCCACTATCACATCTGCAAGTAGAACAGACCTTGCCTATGCTACCACAGATATACAAGCATAATCATGAGAAAAGAATACGAGGGGCAACAGACATCCCTGCCTTCAGGAAGCGCGTCCTGGGAAGGACGCTCGTGTCAGACAGACTCAGGCGCCATGCCCTAGTCAGGTTGCCGCCACCGAACCTGGCTGTGTGCTACTCGGTTTAGAGTTTACGCTCTCACAACTCGGACAAAGGATTTAGGGACTTTTTGGCTGGAGGATGCCAGCTTGAGAAACTCAGCAGCGCAAGCTTCGGCTGCAGCGAGTCTGAAGAGTTTAGGAGCACGCTGAGGGAAGCTTGCGCATCAGAAGGATCCTGGGACGTTGTAATATTGTAAGTCATATGGAGAGAACATTTTATCGTTGTGTTATGACTATTTCACTTCATAAATAAGTAATCTTAATCACTCAAACACCTATACACACAAAGTCCTCTGATCCTCCATATGCACGACCTCTCATCACTAGGATCAAACCCTGAGGTGTCCCTCCTCCGAGTCAATCCGCTCACTCGACTCTTCATGGGAAGGCTCTGAGGACAGCGATGAGGGTGATGTACTCCTATCTGAGCTGGCATTCTTTGAGGCGGTGCTGTGTTCCGCCCTGTGGCCCTCCAGGCTTCGGAGGGACTCTCCGAGGGATCGGAGGGAGATGTCCAGGAGCTTGATCGCTGCAGCTGCACGGAGTCCTCCAAGGTTTTGGTTGCGGGCCAGTCCTCCAGCCTTCTTGCGGGATGCACCCGCGCCGAGAAGTAGCAGTCGGTTGCGCTCCTCCAGATCGGCCATCACTGGCTCGACTTTGCCACCACTCTGCCCGGTCAGCATGGCGGAGGCAACCCCCAACGCTGCGTCCAAGGATTCGGCAAGGGCCTCGCCATTGGTCCCCAGGGCTTGAAGGACCCGTCGATCGTTGGCAAGGGGGAGACCGGCATCCTCGCCAAGGCCCTCGTGCAACATGGCCACGAGCATGTTAACGATGCGAAGCAGCCGGGAAATTTCAACAACTGCCTGAAGGCATTTCCGGCTGCTCGGCTTCTTCCGGCGGCCACAGCAGCGGAAGCAGCGCCCCGGCAGCCAGAGCAGGCCGCCTAGCACGAGGAAGCCGCCATCGACGCCCCAGCGACCCTCCCAGCGCGCATCTTCCAACACATCGCCAACACCCGGCTGCCCATCCCCGGCGAAGTTCAACGCCTCGAAAGAGGTCCAAACTTCGTTCCGGAGTTCGGTCCAAGCCTCCTCGTCCTCGGTGGCGTCGCGGGTCTGGCCAGCAGCTGTTGCAGCGAGCACTGCACCGGCACGGCGCAATGCACTTACGGCGCATTTCAGCGCTTCGTTCTCACGATCACGAAGTTCGTCGATGCCACGATCCGGCGCCAAGAAGATACTAACGACCGTGGCCGCCACGATGCCCACAAGGACATCCACACATCGGCGCACGGCGATGTCCACGGCTTGCGGCATGGGTAGTACTAATTCATTGTCTTCGATGAGCTTGTCTGATAAGCTGGACAGCACGACCTGGTAAGTCACGAAGGTTACGGCTCCAGCATATTGCATCTCCAGCTCAAAGAACTTGAGGCCGAAGGCCATGACGAAAATCTGACACCACAAAGCCCGGAAGGTCGGGGCGGCTCCTAGAAGCGCTACCGAAGCCACGGCCAGGACGGAGCCGACGACGGTCCCCAAACCACGACGCATGCCTCTGAGCAAAGTGGCCCCTTGCACCGGCGTGGTGATAAGCGCGATCGTGAACAGTGTCCACGAGCTGCCGTCTTTGGATGGCCAAAGCCTGTTGACCGGAATCAAGTCCTTCAGCAAGGAAGTCAGCAGAAGGGCGAGGGAGACGCGGAAAGCAAACGACTTGCCCTTTGCAAAGCCCTTTTGCCAGGCCTTTCGTCCGGCAAAGGGCGCCGAAAGCCAGTGCTGAATGCCTGTGACTCTTGGGGCGGCGCAACCGCAGCCGGGTGCCTTGGGCGACGCCGTGGCGACAAGCTCCGCCAGGATGGCGGCGCTCTCCGCAGCAGTGCAGACGCCCACAAGGGACGCTGCATTCCGGCTTGCCTCGTCAAAGGCAGCCACAAGGGCCTCCTCTTGGTGCTGAGCCTCTAAGACTGTGCGAAGGTGATAGGAGCCATCGAGAAAAAACTCTTCCTTTGACTTTCCGTTGGTGATGCCGAGAGTAACGCTTTCCTCCAACCTCGCCTTCCAGCTGTGAGGAGCATCATCCAGGTACATGGAGCTCCAGACATCCTTGTACCTGGCGAGCATGTCTCGGCACTCTGCAGCTGCCACCTGGCAATCTTCCGCAGTGACATTCGGAGAGGTCAGCCAGGGAGCAGCTGGAACCTGGCCAGGAGGTGGCCTTCCTCCCAGCTCCAGTAGGCGCGCAGCAGCGTGCCTTAAGGCTTTGGCAGCCATGAAGCAGCAGTCGCGCATGGCCTCACCGGTGACTCCTGAGAAGAAGAGCTCCATGGAGAGCGGGCTCAGCCCGAGGGTCACCATCCGCGCCTTCATCTGCAGCGCCAATCGACACGACTCGGACTCTTTGCTCAGAACCTCCAAGGAAGACTCTCCTCTGAAGGAGCCCGAAGATTTCAGATCCCAGAGTTCGAAGGCTGCAGAGGAGCAAGCAGTGCGAAAGCCGTGGCTTGCTTTGATGAGCCTCAGCCGGCACTCCCGGTGCCGCTGCAAGCTTCCTCCATCGCGCTTTTGCCAGATTGCCACGGCCTCGAAGGTTTCTGCAAGAGACGCCAGCTTTTCGGCGCCCAAAGCAGGCGCCTGCTGCCGGGCAGAGGCCGCCCCGAGTCCGAAGGGCAGGTGGCTGAAGATCAGTGATATCAGCGCCCCAGCTAGAAGAGAGGCCGTCAAACAGGCCGTGTCCAGGAGAATGTCTCTGTGATCCACGGGCTTCAAGAAAGCGAGGACGGGGCAAAGCACAGCGTAAAGAAGAGCCACCGGATTGCCAGCAAGCAGCACTTTCGGCGCGTGCAGAACAGAGGCTACTGCGCCCCAAATGACGACTAAGAAGACCATCGCACCGAGGCCAATGCTCAAGATCCACGAGTTCCACTGATATCCTCCCAGCAGGAAGCACAAGAAGCTCGTGCCAATGCCCAGCGGCACCAGTAGAAATGCAGAGGTGATCCAGGTCAGGCTAAGCTTGCAGGTGTCTCCATGCAGCGTTGCTGGCATCATGTAGGCGAAGATAGGTGCAAGAGCCGCCTCAGAGTAGGTGAAGACTTCATGGGCAGTTAATGACGAGAGATACGTGGCTAAAGCTCCACATAAGACCACAGACAAGGCCGTGCGGAAGGCAAGCGCAGCGCGCGCTTGCGGAATGTCTAAATCCATGCTGGCCGGCTTTTGGAGCGACGAAATTTAGGGTTCAGGGTGTCGGTTTGGACCAGATGGTTGGCTGCCTGTTTCCGCTGACTCATTTGTTGTTGGTTCATGTGTCCCTTGCAGCCGTCAACACGAATCGCCACACGAGTCACGAAACCCGACAGGATAGCTCTGAGTGAAGCTGGGCTGCATGAAGCGCTGTTTTGATGTGTGCTTGAGCCGTAGCCATTTATGCATGCATACATACATACATACATACATACATACATACTTACTTACTTACTTACCACGTGCATAAACCGTACGTACTAACCTACAGAAACCATCAAGAAAAACAACACACATACAGACATACATACAGACATACATACATACATACATCCATGCATGCATGCATACATGCAGACAGACGTGCACACGCACATATACATGTATGCAGCATATAGACATGCATGCATTCAGAAGCACCAACACGCAATTGGAAACTAGGTCGCACTCTCGGTTTCACCGACAACGATACTACTCGACATTAAGATTGCAAGTGGCCACGGTTGCAACAGGTAGCTTCGGGTCTTTTCGAAACTGAGGCGCAACCGGCCTTCTTCGGAGATCTTCTTTGAACTCGTGCAACCTCGGTGTCCAAGCGCTGGCTGCACACCATAGCCACAGGAAATCCGATGCGGTCCAGCAGCTCTTGCTCCAATGCGCTTTGCTGCAGTCCGGAAGGCTTCTTCTAGCAGGGATTGTTGCATCGGGCTTTAGGGAAACCAGGACCTCACAACCAGCTCCAAGGTATGTTTGCTATCACTCTCTGCATACATCAGGACTCCCCCCATACACCTCGAGAAGCTTTCGACAACAGCATAAACAATGGCACCGATGATGATGCTGATGTTCTTGGCAGTCGGGACAGCTAAATTCGTTTAGAATGGTAATGGCCGCACTATAACAACAAACCATAAGAACAAATGATTACACTAGCAACAATTCTAAAACCGAGAGCAGATGTCACCATCCGGAGAAAAAAAAAACAATACTTCCGCAATCATAAACAGAAATGTCAAAAACTAAGCTCATCGCGGCAATGGCTAGGAAATGTTCTTACGAATGAAAATAGATAGCGGCGTTTTGACAGGTCGCTGCCTTGACTGCACTGGCTTTAGCCGCGCGCTTCCGCTGAAGTCGCTTCAGCTCAATTCCCAACCAACCTCATTTCGGTTCCGACTGTCGCTTCGGGTCGCATTGAAGGCTTACATGTTGGGCAGTTGCACATTGATATCTCGCCGCGGCGGCTGGACATGTCAACTATGATAGCGAGCGTCACCTCCAGTTGTAATACCACTATCATCACTATCAATACTACTCCAACAGTTGCTTGTGCTTTTGTGGGAAATACCGAAACTACCATCCTGGTTCGTACTACTTTAATCAAAAAGAACTACTACTACTACTACTACTACTACTACTAGTACTACCACCACCACCCACGCCTGCCGCTGCTACTACTGCTGCTGCGACATGCTGGAGGACGGTATGTGTCGGATGACCTTGTCATACCAGCCTTCCGTACCTTTCCCATCCAACGACGTCCTTCCAAAGTTTCAATAAACCTAACACGAGATCCTTAAACAAAGCGGCCGAAACCCGAACCCGGGCCGAAGCCCTGCCAAACCTGCAAAACAAACGCCAGAAAGCATGCGGGCAATCATTGGCATGCGGAGTTAGGTGTTGACGTCTATCTGCCGGATGGATAGGGCTGAGGGTTTAGGGTGTTCTGTCAGGTCCTCTGCTTCCGGGCTCCGAGCGGAAGCAGCTCGGTCTGAGAAGGCCGTCCCCGTCGAAGTCTAAGACTGAGAAGAGAAGCTCTTCTTGCCCGGCCTCACCAGTACCGAGTTGTAACTGAAACTGCGCTGGTCCAAGGCTGCCCCTGGCCTTCCAGTTGAGCTCTGGAAGCCTCTTGCCTCGGAAAGAATACGAATCCCTATGGCCTGGGGACACTCCCTGCTTCACCACACAAATTCTGGAGTTGGCTCTAGATGCTCTGCAGTCCCAAAAAGGCTGGGCCGAGCGGATTTATTTGCAGTGGGTGTTCGGTCTCGTGTCGGCGCGTGTTCGTTTTTCAGCAAGGAATCCGGCCGAAGCCGAAGGCAGCTTCGCTTTAGTCGTGGTCTTCGGCAAGTGCAAAGTCCCTTCTTAAAAAGAGGACTGCTTCGTCGATCTCGCACAGGCATCGAAGCTAGAACATCGGATTCTGGCGTTACGTATTTGGCTCTTCTTCACCCACTCTGGGTCGCCCAACTCAAGCCCGCCCGCTTCCTTCCCGCGGCACCAACTTCTGTAATGTGTTTGGTGTTTGGGATTGTTTGGGGGGGGACATGCTGCCCGACCTACGAGCTCCAGGACTCCCTGTCCACACGACCCTGTATGCGCTTCTTATAGCGATAGTGGCAGGGGCAACTCTGGTGCAATGTCAATTACTCGTTTCCGATGCGAGCGCAGGCTGCGGCTGCGGCTGCGACTGGAGTGTTTGGCGGCCATGCTCCTTCTAAATCCCTCCCCGTTCGTCTCAGCCGACGGCAGAAGCCTTCCTGCGAAACGCATTCCAAGTCCTGCAACACCGCGTGGTCACGATATGCGTGTTCTAGCAACCTCAGCCCACTCTTCCAACTGCAACAGTAGACAGATAGCTGGCAGCCTCTAGGCCACTCTAGTGCACCGCCGAAGTGCTTGGGCGTGCCTTCGTGGAAAGATTTGTTGTGCTTTCATCCTCCGTCAAGCTGAGCATCATGTCCTGGCGCAGAAGGAGAACCGTCGACAAGTCTTCAAAGTGAGCACAAGGCCTCTACGCTCACGAAATTCTGAACCTCGGCTGTGCCGATGCCAAATCCGTGTCCGCGAAGTCTTCGGGGAGTGTCTTCAGCTGAGGCAGCCCACGGCCCACGAGCGGAAGGTGTTCCACAGCATGGCCTGCTCCTCATCCAGCTCATCCTGGGCATCTAACCATGGCTGAAGGACTGGACGGCTTAGCTGTGCCGTGCTTAAAGTCCCGGGCCAGCACAATCTCGCCGGAGCCATCCTGGAAAGATCTCGCAAGAAGCAGAAGCCACAATGCTGGGGACTGGGGAAACTGGGAGCTCCACGGCATCTATCTCGGCAAACAGCTTGTGGAGCTCCCCGGCCGTGTACCCGAGGTTCCGCATGCCATCGGCAAACTCGATCCTTGCTTCTCGCAGCAGGGAGGACGAGGATCTGCAATGTCAGCCGAGGATCTTGGAGACCCTGTAGTCCAGGTCCACATCGAAGTAAGCCAGCCTGCCACGGCCCAAGAAGCGCCCAAGCCCTCTCACCGCAGCTGGGCCCCGGACCAGGCTTTCAGAACAGATCCACAAGTCGAGATCAGGAAATCCCGGACCTTCGTAAGCGCCGGAGTGCCTGGCATCGAGGTGGAAGTTCCGCACGCCTCCCCAGGAAAGTCTCTCCTAGTCAAGGGCCTCCATCAGGCTCGGCTGCCATGGCTCAGTCCATGACTGCAGCGACAAACCCCAAACCAACCGGCTGGCCCAGGTCGCTTCGGGGCTTAGGACTAAGAGTATCGGGCTTAGCGGCTTGGCACAGACACTGCAGTGCTTGGGGAAGCATGCCGACATGCTGGCTGAAAGGAAACCTGCGAGAAATGAATGCCACATTATGCACCACCGGCAGCTAGCTCGCTGTCTTCGCTGCCGTGGGCAAATGCTACTCCGCTAGGCTTCCGCTGAAGTTATTGATTCTCGACACAGAGGCAGCTCTCATCAACCATAGGTGCTGGTGTTCGGGTGCTGCCCGAAGTTCAGACGGGAGCTTCGCTCGCTCTGTTGGGATTGCTGCTTGCTGGCTTCCTGCTGCGGCATCGCTTCTTGCATGCCAGACAGGTACAAGCTTCAGCAAGCTCGGCAGTTACAAAAACAAGGATCCCAGCAAACATCTGGAAACCCTCACCAGGTCAAGCGTAGTAAGCCTCAGGTACGAAGCGGACATGCGACTGGCCGGTCGGACGTAGAGCATCCGAGGAGCCACTGACTTCGAGTAAGAGGATCCGATTCTGACCGGAACCTGCATCGAACAATGCAGGAAAAATTACGTGCAGAAAGACTCTTCCGAGGTGCCGCCCCCCCCCGGCCTTCCGGGGAGCCTTCAAAGGCGGTCCCACTCTGGGGTTGGAGAGAAGTTCATCCAGCGAAGGCTTGGCAACAGCTCCCAGCAAGTCGTCCAAGCCTCAGTTTCCGCGGCATTTGAGCCAGCTGCCGCGAGGGGATCAGCTCAGGAAGGCACGCGACAACATCCGCGGAACCACCGGATTCGGCTGTGTGCGCGGTCTTGGGGCCTCTGGCGAGAACCTGAGGCAGCTGGCCCCTTCCTTCTGCATCCAGCGCAAACTGGCCAAATCAGTGTTCGAGCTCTCGGTAGCCGGCCCTCGCGGTGAGAATCCTAGCGAGCACTCGGTGCATGGGGTCATGGAAAGACGAAAGCATCTCGAAGCCTTCTGGACTTGATCTGGAAGTGCTTGGCAGCCCCACCTAGATGCAGAACCCTCCTCCCCATGACTTCACGGGTCTCTGCATCCTGGGGCCTGAACCGTGTCCACCAGGGAAGCAACTGCCAACTCATCAACCGGAGTCGGCCCTTGCAATGCGTGACTGTCCGGACGGACTGCCCTGCGTCGAACGCGATTCGCTGAGCAGCCCACCGATCAAGGAACTGAAGGAACTGAAAAAGCCCAGGTCCTGCGCAAAAAGAGAAAGCACCACGGCCTTCTTTTGATTTACTGTGGCAATGCCTCCCTTGCTCTTCCCCAGCCAGCCTAGAATCTATCGGAGAGCCGTCACTATTTCCTGTGCCCGCTTTCGCACCGCAAACTCCTGGCTCATGTCCGTGCGATCGGCTTCCTCCTGGAGCACTCCCAAGCCGAGCCGAATCGTTTCCACAGCTGTGGGACACGGCAGCTTCAGGGCGTCAAGAGAACACCCGTTGTCTTCACGGTCCTGTCCCAGTCTTGATGTCCTCACTGTCCTTACCGACAGAGACCTGTCTTGTGACGGCATCCAAGCCCGCCTCATGCTGCAGCATGCATGTTCGCGCATCGTGCATTGGGAAAGGAATGCTCATGTACTACATATAGTGCACATATGTTCTGCCGAAGGACTACTGAGGCATGCACGCGCTCGCACTCCCAGAGTGCCAAGGATCGGTGCAAGACCAGCTGTACTCCCCATCGCCTCGGAGGCACAAAGATTGAGCCGCTGGTGAACCGCATGGATGTTGTGCCTTTTCTGGACAAGCGCAGCCGCCGTATTTCAGGAACCGCTTGTTGGCGCAGCTCGTCTCGGCCCGATGTGGTAAGTAGTCGACCAGCGTTGTGTGAGTGACATGTAAGGCGGTAAGCTCGGGACATTTCCGCCTTTCTGCGGACATACATAAATACTTCACATCTCAGGAGCTGCGGAAAACGCAGGACAACACTGAGGATTCCAGCCTGGCCACCCGGCGAGCTCGAACCTGAGGCTATGCAGGCTGAAAAGACACGGACCCAGATGAACCAACTGGCACTCTGAGCATGCTGCCGGGTCGTCTGTAAGCTTGGAGATCGTGCTTCGGGCTCCAATCTGCAGCCCCACCTGCTCGGACATGCAAGTCTCTTGCGGCCCGCTCTTTGAAGCGTTGCAGAGCCTTCGATGCTGCCGCAAGTCCTGTGCTCGATGTCTGGTTTCTGTTGCATGACGGGAACCAATCGGGTGCACGTCCGTCACAGCTGGGACAGGGGCCTGTACGATGACCGTCCTCAAACTCGTCCTCAGCCTGAGTCCAGTGCCCAGTGCCCCTACCGGCTCCTCCCTGCCTATGCATTCCTGACTCCCTTACTCTCTACACCCTCGCAAGGACAAGTGGCATCAATCTCCCAGTCGTCCAAAAAAACGACCTCTTTCCTCAGCTGGGATTGACAGTATTGACTCCGGTGATATGGCTGGTCTTGATGGAAGCCGAAGACACACCATCCACATGCTCGACCAAGCTACTGTTTACCCATTATCCACCCTGTCTTCCGACACGAATGTAGTACTCCTGCAGAACGGCATAGCCAAGACACAGGGTCAGCGTGCCCTGCTGATCGACATCCAGGGCAGAAAAAAGAGTCCTGCCGGATTATAGAATATATATATATATATCTCTATCTATCTATCTATCTATCTCTCTATCTATCTATCTATCTATCTATTTACTTATTTATTTATTTATTTATTCATTTAATTATTTAATTATTTGTTTTTATTTATATATATATATATATCGCACCAGAAAAATCACCTGGAGTGCTCTGCGACCTTGGAGATCCATCGTAGCCATACACTCTGCAGGCAGCTCGAAATTCCTCAAGCACAAAAACGACCCACACGCGAAATCTGAGCCCAAGCTCCTCCCCAAAGCGCCTGGAAGCTGAGGCTGCCCGAGCAGTCCGAGTCGAAAACAGCAAACGCAGACCTCACCGACCCGAACTCGGCGATGCACCAGCGCCTTCCCAAAGAAGAGCGGCAAGGGGGAACTGGATTCGGGGCAGCTTTGGCGGGTCCTGAAGTTGGACAACACCATGTCGGATTCCTCGTCTATCTGGCGGAGAGATATGTATCCAGACCTGCACAGTAAACCATGAAGCGAGCATCTTGCAAGGCATGGCGCCGCACTCGGAGCCCCTCTGAGCATCAGGCAGGTCATCGTCGAAGGCCCGCCAAGCTCCCGCAGTATCACCTTGGCGCACTCCCTGCCGGCAGAGCCTCTCGCCGTTCCGAGCTTTAGACAAGTCGCCAGTGTAGCCTAGGATATGACACGTGGTTTTGAACTCGTACCAGTTGCAGCCTCGGACAGGTACAGTGTGAAACCACCCTCCATAAAAAAAAAAAAGCAGAATGTACAGCAAAGGCTGGGGCGGTTCGTTGCATCCTTGTCTAGGAGGCGTCGCCTCAGCAATGCACAATACGCGTCACTTCAGCCGTCAAGGGCTCAAGGTTCGCACCAGGCTTTCATGTACTGCCCGGTCCGCACCAAGATCAACTTCTTGATTTCTGCCATGGCCTCCAAAGCAGAAACGCACTATGTGACTGTGTCACGATGCAAGCTGTCGGAGAAAGCGCCAAGTGCTCGCATCGACGCCTTGAAGTTCGGAGGCGCCAACAAGAACGGCAGGGGATTCCAGCTGTCCAAGAAGAGCACATCATCTATGACCTCACTATGCACCGAAGCTGAGCGAAGGCTGAAGGGTCGGACGGCCATCGAAGGACACTCCTCCAATCTAAGTTCCGGTCAATCTTGTTACTGCCGTCCTTGTCCAGATGGCTGAACAGCTGCTTCGTCGGACGCTGAAACCCGAATCGTTGAAGAGCCGCGGTGAACTCCGCACAGGTGATGAAGCGCGTGTGGTCCGAATCGATGGCTTTGAAGGCTTCCCGGACCCCCCCGAACTGAGAGTTGACCCAGGCCTGCAGAACGCTGCAAACGCCCCTTTCTCTTGGGAACTGCAAAGGGGGGCCATTGCAAGATAGATATATATATATATATTGTGCAATTGACCCGCCTTGAAGTGTGCCAGACTTTCGGCGCTTCGTGGGTCAAGCTCATCGATGGAGGCTGATCCGCTGTCATCCTTGTCCAGCGACTTCCAGAGGTCTCTCGACTCCTTCGCGAAGCCCAGGCGAGCTGCGGCCTGAAGAAAAGGGGCTTCCAAGAGCAAGGAATTGGGCCAAAGAAAGCAAGAACGTTCTGGCGCCTTCATGAAATGCAGCTTGGAGAGGACCTCACGGCCAGCTCGGGCAGACAAAAAGGCGCGTCGTGGAGCAAAGCCATCGGAAAGGTCTCGGGACGGCACCATCGAATCGGTTTGGGAAAGGGCCTGGCGCCAGCCGCGGATCAGGTTGCCGTGCTTCTTGCGAAGGAAGGCCTGCGCTACTCCCACAACCAAAGCACTCCGAAAACAACACCTGAGCAGACAGCCTTGAAGGTCTTGAAATGGCGATGCTTGTCCTGTGGAGATGCCTCTTGACGCATCCTGAGGACCTGTGGCTCGACGCAACAGCATGAAAGCCTTCGGGGATTGGGACACAGAGCCAAGACCCTGTCAGAGTGCATCTTTTGACACTCAAACTGAACATCGGCGCTTTTTAGAACCCATGCACAAAGCTACCATCTACATCGTTGTTCGGATCAGCTCTGGTTTGAGACTCAAGACGACCAGCTTCTCCCCTAAGGCATACAAGCACTATAGAAATTTAAAGGTTGGGCTTACGGGATTGTGGATGTTAGCGCCGCTTCCCCAGTGTCCCCACCCAACCTGCCACTTCTTGGACCTGATCTTGGCCTCTTGCTTCTTCTGCCTTCGTGCGTATTCGGTCGCGAGCCAACCTTGGAATTTCGACAGGAACTCCTAGAATTAGTACAGCACCCCTTAAAGAGAACCCCATTATAGTACCCCTTAACGAGAACCCTATTATAGTACCCTTCAAGAGAACCCTAGCTTTCCGCTCTTCCCGTGTAAGAGCAGCGTAAGGCTCCAGCTGAGGCTGCTGGGCCTCAAGAGGTTGTCATCCTTATCCTCGAGGGCATCATAAACCTGGACAGAAGATTATAGTATAATATACTATAGTATATTATAGTATATTATAGTATCTTATATATAGTATCTTATAGTATATTATAGTATATTATCTCAGAAAACAACAGCACGGTTGCACTGCTCAGGAGCAGGCCCAGTTGAGGTCGGAGACGCTGTGCTTCCAGCCACACTTGCGAATGCCGGTGCCTCCACACGTCAGGACAGAGCTCCTCTGCGCTGCGGACAGCTATTGCTACTGTTCCGGCAGCTTGGCGAAGAAAGGCACAGAACACACACAGTGAGTCCCTGACAGAACTCCTCACGCGTAAGATGAAAAGCCTGCAAAGCGCGGAAGCACCCGTAGCACTGGCAGCTTTCGGCGAACAGTGCCGTCTCGTCGGCCTTCGGCCTGTCCTTCTGGACGCTGGCCATCTCCGGCGTGATGTCTGCAGACCAGTCGGCACATTTCCTTGGATTGGTGCTCTGCTGCTCGGCCAGAAAATGCCCCCGACATCCACGAAAGAAAGCACCTGCACTCCTGCTCTATGCCTTTATTCCTCTAGACCAGCTGCTGGATCAACTCCTGACAGAGATCGCAGCCAGCGTCTTACCATGCTCGCACATCCGGCTACTGCACAAAGACCATGACCACACGGGCAGAAAGTCTATCGAAGGGTCCTCCGCGCTTTTGAAAGCAGCCACGGCAAACATGCGGAAATTTCTCCACAATGTCGCCTGCTTCATGTCAATTTCATCCTCAGCCAACTCGCGTGTCGGCGTAATACCGAACACTGTCCAAGCCCTCTCCTCAGAACTGCCTGAGGCACCCACGAGAGTTAACTCAGCCGACTCATCCTGGAAAAGCTGAAGCTTCCAACTGATGACGATCTCCAAGTGACTGAGGGCTTTGCGCCGTCCAGGACGGAGAAAAGCCGGAAAACATCGCCGGTGTAGCCTAACTTCCGCATGCCTATCCGGGACACATCTATACTAAGTCTAGGCTGACATAGCGGAACCAAAACTCGGCCAAAGGCCTTGGCTAAACTCCGTCTTCGAGATCCTCTGATCCTTAGGGTTGTGTCTGCTCTTTTAAAGCGACCGTTTTAAAAACGACCAAACCCAGCCGGCCCTGGGGTTGCGACGTTGTTTTCATCCAAGTACTCGACCCAGGCCCGCAGCACCGAACCTGACACAGCGAGCTCCTGCTCTCCAGAGATGCTCAGACAGAAGACGCCCACCTGCGGCAGATATCAGAAACTGCCGCAGGTGGTCCATTGCTTTGGCCGGATCTCTTCCATACTCGGTTTTCGACCTTAGGTAAAGTGGTGACAAACATGACGTCGGCTCCTCTTTGCGCCTACTTACTCTTCAAGCCGCTCGTGGATCTTCCGCTTCGGACTTGCCGGCCCACTGTCGCTAGACTTCCTCTCAACGGCAACTTGCAGGGCCTTTTGGGGCGAGGCCAACTCGATCAGCGGCTCATGGCACCTCCTCCCCGGCAGCGTCATGCCCACGCAACCGCGAATGGCCCAGGGGCCTACATCTACTGAGCTTCTGGGCAGCGCATCTTGCACCAGCCCCCATCAACATCCCAGAAATCCTGGGAGCTATGTACACCTTTTTGCGCGAGCCGCGAAAGTGCAGTTGAGGCCGTTAGCATGACAACAGTGGCATAAGGAGACAAAACAAGCATGCTGAGAGTCTTGCTCTGTTTCTTGTGGCAGGAGTGGCTTGCTGCAGCGTGATGCTGCTTAGAGCAGCGGGCAACCTTTGCCCGGTCATGCACACAACAGATCCGAAAAAGCTCTTCAGGCCCTGCTCAACAGTCCCACAAAACTTGGGGAAATCTGCCGTAGCAAAGCTGCAAGAGCCGGGAAGCGGCCTCCTGCAAGACTTCGACGAGCCCTCGTCTTGTAACGAGAATTCGATCGAACTTGCAACACGAAGACATGTGCAATTCTTTTCCCAGGGTGCATTCTTGCATCAACAAACCAGAAGGAGCCCAAACGTGCGCTGAGGCCTTGCGGTGAAACGCCGTGCCGAAGTCTCTTTGCGCGGCCATCTGTTTTCCTGCACCTCTCTCAGGGCATCTTGCCGCTGGCATCAGCCACACTTCGGCAATGCTGTGAGTATGTCAGAGCAGAAAACCGATGGACGGCAAACTGCGCTTCTGGAACGCCTCACTTCCCAAGCGAGATGGTGTGTGACAAAGACTCCGTGTAGGACCTGCCATCGCGCACTCTGATCGCAAAAGCTTCAAAGAAACTCCGCAAGTTCAGCGGTTGCAGCGGCTTGGTCCGCAGCTTGTCAAAAGTGGCGCCAATGATGTTGGCACCCTGCTTGCCAGGGAAGTGGCCACCTGAGGTCAAACTGAATCGCTCGCAGTGCATCAGAACACGAGTTGGGCCCGTGGCTGAAGCCAGAGATCACCGGAGGCACACCTTCCTGCCAAGAGTCTTCGTGATCCAACCTCTACGTCCACTCACTTCACAGCTGCTCGCTTCAGCTTTAGTCACTTTAGTCCTCCATCTTGAAATGCGCAGCAGTCCCGCAGCCCGTCTGCGAAGTCGTTTGAAAGCATACTGGCCCGGAGCGGAGCCCGTGGCCCTGGGCCATCGCTGCATTCCCCACACGCTCGCGCGGCATCACGCGTCACGTGCACAGTTCTGCATCCAACTCCAGAGAACTTTTTCGGGCCTTGGACCCGGCAGTCGCAGACAGCGAGGGGTTCGACCTGATACGTGCGCACACGCGCAAGCGCATTGCGCGCAGGGACCAGTAGAGGGAGTTGCATCACCACAGGTCACTCCACGAGTTTCGAACCCCTTCTGAACAGGAACATCTGGGAACTCATCACCGGGCAGACGTGGTGAATCTGACCTGGCAGGGCAAAACTCGGGGAGCTCCGGTACAAGTCAAAGCTCCTTCGTGAGCGCGCTCTCTCTCTCTCTCTCTTTTCTGGGTTCATCCGAACCTCCACCAACGCTCCTCTGGGGAAGTCTGGATCACTGCATCCGGTGGCACGCATTTCCTGAGAGGTGTGGGGTCTCTAAGGACAGAGAAAATCATCTGAAACTCCCCGCTGCTCTCATGGCCGGGAGCCCCTGCTTCTGGTTGAAGGGGGGCGGGCTCAGAAGCTCCAGCAGCTCGGCCTGGGTCAGCTTCTTCTTGTCGGCCATGGCCTCCCGGAATCATGGGACGTCGAAAGCCTCAAATGCCCTCATTTCTGGGGATCCTGGCGACGGTCGAAGGAGTGGTGCAAATGGCTGAAGCTGCAAGGCAGAGGGCTTGGACCCGAAAAGGCTGAAAAGCGTTCGGCCGTCAATCGGTCGTCGGAAACGAGTCACGGTGCGGATGCCACGCTGCTGGTCACGCGCTTCCGTCCCTCACTGCGATCTGGAAACGACGAACTTCGAGGTGAAACATTGTGCATGGGAGAATCACGCCGGGGAGCGCATCATGTCGAACTGCTCCTCACATGTGGTGGACTTCACAACGGCTTACACCTTGCAGCAATGTTTTGTAGGCTCCATCCTGGTTGATGATGCCATCCTGGAGCATGCCACGAAGGCGCCCGAGGAAGCCCCGTGTAAGGCTGGCCTCGGTGAAAAATATCACCGGGACATCCCGGGGCCGCTGCGAGTCCCACTTAATCGGCACCTCACGGCCGTCTGCGACTTGCAGGTGGCGAGGCAGCGCAGCTGGAGCCTGGTGCGGCGGTCATGCAGCATACTCGAAGGGCTCCGCCTCTCCGGCCTGAAATGCTGCACACAAGGGCTGCCGTGACTCCTGCAAAGGCGGAGTACAGAGCAGGCAGGTACGTTGGAGCAAGACCGGTCTCACCTGCCGACGACCTTCGCCAAGCAATGCTGCTCTTGGCCTGGGCCGAAGATGCAGTGCCAGTGATCACCCGCACATCTGCAACACAAATCACCAGTAGGTGCTTGGCCCATGCTTGCAAGAGGGAAGCTGCAGCTCCAGCACGTCGTTGAAGTACTCACCTCGGGAGCTAGACCCTGCATTCTGTGCACCTCGCAGGATGCTTGGCCCCATTCCGCCTGTGAAGTAGCGAGAGCCCCCGAAAGCGATCACGGAACCTCGGCTCCACATCCCCAAGTCGCTGTCACTCATTCTGAGCTGATGCGCAAGTATGTGAAACCAAGTCGGTGACGCCGATGTGGAATGAAGCATGCCGGAAAATGGCTTCGCAAGTACACCTGTTCCAAATCAACAGATCCTGACAGACGAAGTGCCGAGCAAGAAAACACCCGCGCCTCCGCCACATGCTGCTCAAGGTCTTGGGACTTAGTGCAAGCTTCAACATGAGATTCAAACGTTTTCCAGCAGCTCTGAGGGAAGAACCGTGGCTGCGACTGCTGCATGATGTTGGTTCCACTTCTTGGTCCGCAAATCAAAGACCTCGCACGGTCGCACTGCGCGCGAAGAGCGCATGCAGAACAACATAGAGCAACGACGGTTGAGGATCTGCCAATGCCTGGGGCCACTTGCTAGGCGACACTGTTACAGCCAATGAAGCTTTGCCCAACACGCAACCGGTAACCCGCCATGGCACTCAGGCGCTTGGAGCACAGAGCTTCGCGACTGCAAAGCCCGGCCGCCTACATACCTTTAACGTCATGATCTGAGTTCATGGCAAAAGGCTCGTCTAACCGGCTGTACCTGCGAACTCGTGAGCCGGTCGTTCCAACTTCTGCTTTCAAGGGAGTACTCGGCCATGCTCGGCCCCTCACCATGTTCGCCATTGGCGCAAGCTGTGGGCATTGAGGCCCTGGCTGCCCAGCCTGGTGTGGCCGATCACAGAGGGCGGATTACTGACAGGAAGGTGCTCAGAAGAGGACTTGTGGGGCAACGTCCCACCCAGCAGAAGCAGCTGGCAGCAGCCAAGCCTTTACTCGGAACCGAAACCGCGTGCTCCGGCTTTGGCTTCGTAGAGGGCCCCTGCGGAACAAGGGCGGCCGCAACCGCCCACGGCGGCTCAGGACCGGGGGCATGGTGTACGGAGGACCAGCGCCTGCAACCGTCCCATCAAGCTGAAGAGAAAAAAAGCCCCTTTTTGGCGGCCGGCACTGCCTCTCCGCCAGGTGTAGGATCTTAGCAAGCAGTTAGCACGGACTGAACATGCTACTGTGGCGTACTGCCATGGTCTCATGCGATGGGACGCCACCGTCAATCGCCATGAAGTGGGGCTGCCACGAAAAGGGTGCGGAAGTCGTGTGGTTGATCGGGCTCCTGCACCGGCTCATTCTTCACGCTCGAAGTGCTGCAACCTGCACCAACCTCGAACTGCCAGGTACTTCCACCATATATGAACCTTGGCTGAAGGATCGGCTGCAGTTCTGTTTCCTCTTCTTCCACTGAGCGTAAACATGCCGCGTGCAGCATGCCTTCATTCCTTCCTTCCGTTAGCCGCTAGCGTCGCTCACCCGCACGGAGGCGCCCCCCTCCCCGCTCTCTGCTTTTCTTCCACAGGGCATTGGGGGCGGGTCAGACCCCCGGCCTATTGGCCCCCCACATGTTATGGGGCTTTCGGGGTTGTGAGAAAGTTGTTCGAGTGTCGGGTCTCTCTTGCTTGCTTGCTTGCTAGGGGTGTGGAGTGCAAGCACCCCTGGCCCGAAGGCCTACCCCCATGGTTCGCGAATGTCGGGTCTCTCTCTCTCTCTCTCTCTCTCCGCGGCCTTCGATGTGCGATTAACACCTATCAGATCTATCAGCCATGCCACCATTGGCCGTGTACCAATTGGCATGCTCCATGCCAAACTCGAGGAGAGGGACTTTGCCCATCACACTCCAATGGCCTGGCAATTCCAAAACTGCACTCAAGCCACCTCTTCCTATCAGCCTATCAAGTTGCGCACATCACGACACGTCCAAACCTCCATGACAGGTCTGTCGACTCGCTGGCACCTCGGAAAATGACAGGTCTGAATCAAGACCAAGGCCCCACTGCATTCGCTGCATGTGCTCGCCTGTGTCGGGACTCAGATCCAGCGACCAGACTTCATTGGTGCATCGTCCACCCAACATACGACCCCCAAATATGACGAACTCGTCATTGAAGACTGTCCCTTTGAGACCTTGCCGCGCACTCGGAACCTGGCCCGACTCGACAGATCCATGAGTCGTAATCTGCTGCCAGATGGCGCTCGGAGACTCGCCCTCCCAGCCGTCTAAACGCAACGCTGTCGTTGCGTTTGTGACATCCGAGTGCGGGGCCCCCCCACCAAAAAAGAAGATGGTCTTTCGATGTGGATCAAAATCACTGGCGGCCCCGTTCATAGAGGGATGCCCGTGGGGAAGCTTTCCTCCTGCCGTGCCGCAATCCAAGCGCCGCACGAGCAAGTCAGGCCGCGTTAGTCGGCTGCCATGACCCGAAGCATTTGGCAAATCCAACTGGTAGACCTCGCGCAAAGGATGAAGTGAAGCTCCACCGACCACATCGGGCGAATACCCGCCGGCGATCCCCAGCATTCGATCGCCCCCTATCCAAAATAGATGAGGAGACTGCGATGCTAATACGACGTTGTTCGACCCTTGGGCAGCTGAAGAAGGGGCGGATGGGATCGCAGCGTCGTCGGTCAGCTCGGTCCACAAGGCCGCACTACATCCGTCCTCGCACAACTCGTATGCCCATGGAGCCTCTGCCATTGACATGTTAAGCTGTCGGCACATGTCGCGCCAATTGATCAGCTCAAGCTCTGTCGCCGATGCACCGGGCTCAAATCGGCAAGCTGCCACCCCCGGACGAACATCATCGGAAGCTACTTCACGTGCTTCGGGGCTGAACGCGCCAAGAAACCGCGAGGTGGCGAGCCGATTTTGGCACATCACCAAACGTTGCCACAGCCCTTCTTCGGCCACAATGCAGGCTAACGATCGACAGCATACTCCAACGTTGCTGAGGGCAGCTTCATCCAAGCACAGCAGGAAACGATAGTGCACACATGCTATCACCTCCTCCAGGACAGAGTGCCCAGCCCGCGCGCAAGCCATGCAAGACTCCAGTACTACCGTGATTCACACACCGCTTTACAGGAATGAGCCTGCATTGGCTGCCTGCATCTCGCGTCGTCTGTCTTACATTGAAGAAGGAAGGGTTTTCGAGCTTGAAACGGCCACGGGTTACATCAGCGCGACTTGCATCACTCGTGTCAATACATGTCAACAGCGCTCCAAAATCTCGTGGAGCTTCAAATTGTAATGCAATTTTCATGGAACATCACGGACGATCGTGTTGGTCGGACTGTGGTCCCTGGAAACCGTCCCAGACGCCCTGAGCCGAACGATACGACAATTACACCACCCACGACCCCAAATCCCCAAGGCATAGCAAATAAGGGCGACGTATTCCCCGGCCCAGCGCTAACAATGCTTTGGCTGAAAGTTTTTGGAAGATCTGTGAATGCTTGATAATGCTTGCACTGTTGTATTTGGAAAAATGCTTGTGTATTGCCCGTGCCTTTGCGTGAGCTACAAAAGCCACCCGACCACAACTCATCCGCGTCAATGCTCGCATTGTAGATGACGCGATTGAGACAACGGCGAGAAGACATGAGGAGAACAACAGTAAGGAACACAAGCTACCACGGAAAGGGTTATCAAGCTAACCCCAACAACAGAACGCAGAAGAATGCAGGCGAAATCTCAACACGCCTACATCTTCAGAGCGCCTGGGCCTCGTCAGGATCCCCTATGAGCAACAAAGACCGGAAGAGCTTGGGGAATTGGGGCCCATGCTGTGTTTGAAGATCTTGTCTCAAACGCCTGATGGCCACAGTTCCCGTGAACAGCTTCGTGTTGCTATGGCTCCTATGGCCCGACTGTAGCTAGTGCAGTGGCAGTCGGTTCGGCCTCGCTGCTTCGGCGAGGTCGAGCAGCTCGGGGCGTGGGGCACGGGCTTCCGAGCGCCGTGCTGCTCACGACCTGCTGCACCGCTACGGCCAGAGTCGTCCACCATGTCTCATCCAAGCGGAAGTGGCTGCTGCTCGCAGTACGGGCGGGGCCCGTTGGGCTCGAATGCGCACCAAGTCTCTGACGAGCCGCTGCGCTGCTTCGTTCCAGCGCCCGCTCATCTCGGAGCTGAGCACGAGGAGCCGCTGCGGACCCCCGGAGCTGAGCTCTGGGTAAGCGGCTCGCTTGCGCCGCTCGGCAACCCGCAGCATGGCACCTGCGTGCGGGTTGTGGCTTGCCTGTTCGAGTCAGCGGCGACACAAGTTGATGCGCCGTAGATCACCACGTCAAAACGGCGTCATACGGCGTCTGTCGACTGTCTGTCGTCTGGGGCAACGCGTGGTGGAGAGCCACTGTTGCGGGACCACCCGACCCCCGTTCTCGACGATCGCAGAGCCAAGAGCCCAGTGCGAGGGCAGGCCAAGGCCGCATCCGGGAAGGATTTAGACGGAGAGGGAGTGGGAGGCGCAGACGGCGGCGCAACGCAAGCTGCATGGCTTGCGGGGGGAGTGTGGTGGCTGGCTCGGCCGGGATGCCGGCGCCCAGCTTGAGAGCGCAGGTGCTGGGGGGCATGCCTGGTGGCAACGCGAGCGGAAGTGCCGAGGCCCCTGTCAGTCGCCACTGGTGGGCGAGCGCCATCCGCGATTGCTCGCCAGGACGGGCACTCCTGCCAGCCTTCAGCTTGAAGGAGGTTGCGTGCCACCGCTGCGCTAGGTCCTTTCTGCGTCCCTTCCCTCCAGTTGGCGGACGCATGCCTCGGCCAAAGCTAAGGCGCGCTCGCCAAGCACAGGGGTGTGTCAACCCATGCCGCCCAGTGCGCTGCGGGCGCGGTACGGACCGCGCTGGCTAGGCCGAGACCGCCAAGCGACGCTCGAAGAGTCGCCAGTTTCCGTGCGCCGTCCGCGACTCCGCCGAGGCAGGCCTGCAAGGTCTCCCATGCAGCGTCGTCATGGGCTTGGGCATAGCCGGCTATGTCCAGCAGCACTGTGCGGAGCGCGTGGTTGGCCGCGGCGAGGCACACATTGTGACATCACGCGGAGGAACGCACATTGTAAGTCGAGGAAGCGAGGCAATTGGCTTTTTTTTCTTTTTTGGCGCACCTTTTTCCGACTGGTCCGC